CTCCTTCTCTTCAGTTCGGGGGATTTGTCTGATTCCCTTTCCCACAGAGTTAATAAGAACGATTTTATGTAAGAAGAGCTGAAGGTATTTGTGAGTCTTTTGCACGTAGGACAGATATTGCCAAATTTCAGCTGCCAAGAAATACTGCTACATTTTCTCCCACCATGGTATTAATCATTAATGGCTTTGTTCTCAATGAACAGGCTGAGTATCTTCAATGATGCTCTTGTGAGTGCTAATGCTTTGTGGTTGCAGTGAGAGCATCACATGAGAAATGTGTTTGTTCAGAGAGGAGAAGCACCACAAACACAGCATTCTGACCCAGACCAGATTTCAAATATTTCTAAGGACAGGTGCACACAGATAAAGATTTTTAATTTGGCCTCATCTCTAGGTTAAGCACTGGACCCACCTGAGGAAGGATTGCACTGGGGACAGTCAATTTTCCAGCAGCAGCAAGTCCATTCAGATGTCAGGGTATTTTGCTACAACAAAGGCTGATGTTGACATTTTTTCTTGGATAGAGACAGATGCAAGAGCTTCTGCCTCAAGGTTATCTATTATACTGTATATTAACTAGATGTTTTAACACAGGGCTTCCTGCAGAGACAACAGTGAATGATGATTAATACTTATCAATTAAAATCTAATCTTTTTCCCATGTGTATTTATATGCTGAACTTCAACCTACAAGGCAATTCTGTGACAGGAGTTAGATATTCTTTTGTTGGAGTGCACTGGAATTATGGTCAGGGATGTATTATTCACTCATTTATTATGACTATTGTGTTTGTGCCTGGTTTTTGCCTAGGCATTGTATATAAACATAGCCTCTGTGAAAAGGAGTTTATAAACAATTACCATTAAAGGGACAATTATTTTCTCTTTCTTCATGTAACAGCTCTGAGTAGGAGGTGAGGGATGGAGGAGAGAAGAAGCAAAGGTTGTACATGTTTTATGACCATAATTATAATTAACTATTTGAGAGATTAAAATTATATTAAATTTTAATTATAATTTACTATTTCAGAGATTAAAACTGATTAAAAAAGACTCAGGGTTATGAGGTACCTCACAGATCTACGAGTTATCTAGCTCAGCTTAAACATACAGATATGAATCTTCTTTTTTGTTGTTGTTTTTTTTTTCCTGTTTAAGCCAGCCCCGGTGGAACAGGCAGTGCCCATGAGTGCGGTGTGTGCCCCACAGCCCCAGACAGGGAGAGCTGCTCCGGAGAGACGGGAAGGATGGAACAACAACTGAAGGAGGCCACTCACAGCCCTGGTGGAGAGTCTTAAAGTGGACAGGTGATCTGGCTGGTTAGTTCTGATTTATTACAAAGGCATCTTTATGCTTTTTGAATTCCCTTCCATCATCCACGTTAAACAAAACTGCATTCTTATAAGGCACTTCATCCCCTCCATGCATGCACACGCTCATCACTCATGTCACACCACCAGCAAAGGCATAGAAGGAAGTGCAGTTATGTGATGCCTATTACAAAAATCTTTTTTGTTTTATTATACCAGAAACAAGCACTTTAGTAAAGCTGCTAGGAACTGGTTCAGGTTTTCAGTACTGTATCAACATTTTCAGAGAATGATGGTGACTGTTAAAGGTGCAAGACTTTTTCTGGTTTGCAGCAAAATTGCTTTTCACAACTTGTCCCAGAAGATCTTTGTTTTTAAAAAAAAATATTTTGCAAATGAATTTTGTAGCAGGGAGAGGTGTGGAATTATGGGAATGAAAGTGTGTGTGGAAACATCATCTTCCCATTTTGTATTTTTTGATGTGACATTCCTTATCACAAGGGAAAGAGGCACTTCTGCAGCTTCCCTACCCCTGAGCCTCCTACCAGCTCAGAGAGGCATCACAAAGCCACTCACTACTCAGTCTCCATTTCATTTCTTGTCACTTATTAACACAACCATACTGCTTTGAGAGCTCGGCCCATCCCTTAGTAAAAGCGTTCAAAGTGGCTGGAACAAGTGGTGAAAAAATGATAAACATTTTCAGCTGAAATTGGTCAGATTATGGATGAGTTGTTTATAAACATCTCATCTAGAACTGTCAAGAGGTGGAGCTGACATCATTGAAAGATGATAAATTCTGACACAGTGCTCTGAGATTTCACTGCCACCGAATGTAGGTTAATATGGGATTCAATAGGAAATCTGGCTTGTGTATTGCTGCATATTACAGGAAACGAAGGAACTTGTCATTTGTCTGCAGATTGCTAATTGCAGTTTATTGCACATGCAAAAGGTTAATTTGGGTATGTTATCACAGTAATCACATGCACTGCCTCAGATTAAACCATACCCCTACACTAACTGATGAGCTGGCCTGTGGGATTTGGGACATTATTTTGTAATATTATGGCAAATAAGAATTTTGAGTAAATGCTGTAAGAGTGGGCAGCAGTGTCATTAAGTGCAAAAAACCCCAGAGTTACAAGTCTCTGTTATGAAATAGTTTCCCTTAACCCTTAATTTAATTATTCCCTGAGATGCATGTAATTTATTCTTTGTGATAATTGAAAACAGAAGACTCATCTATTCTAAATGAAAATTATATCCTATTCTTATTATTGTTAATGCTTTGTATTTAGATGAGTATTTAAAGGGCTGAGATGAATTCATGACCTCTTCATGCTAGGTGCTGTATATATACACACAGTAAGCTCACTGCCCCAAAGACCTTACACTTTAATGAAATGAAGGTTGGAGGAAGGAAGTTTTATTACTTCTGTCACAAATGGGAAATGATAACAGAGAGAAACTAAAAGGACTGAGAATTATTACACTCCTCCTGCAACGAGTCCTGTATTTGCCTGTAATATATCCTCCCTGCTTTTGTTAAGTTGCTGTAAATTGCTAGGTAGATGGTTGGTCTCTCCCCCAGAGATGGAGTTTAATTCTGTGCATGTTTCAAGGTTTTATGGAACGAAAGGCGTTCTGTAGATAGATAACACTTTAATTTAGACCTGATTAAGTTATTCTGAAGCAATATTTAGTGGAGGGAGTAGATTTGTACGAATCTGGTTGCTTGTTGCCATATGAACATACTGCTGCATGGCTGCTGCGCTCCCCGCGGGCTGCGCTCTTGGTGCATGGGGGTTTTAAGGTACACCAGTATAACTTTTTAATTGTTATTATTCCCTCTAGTTTGTTCTTAAATGTCTTCCAAAATAGTAAAAATGTAATAGTGCTTGAGATGTTGGAGCATTCCACAGGATTCATGGGGCTCTTGGAACACCAGTGCAGGCTCAGTCTCCCAGAAATGAATCTTCTTCTCCCCCTGCTCCCTGGAAATACCGTGCTCATTCTGAAATGCATTTTAAGCATTTTTAATTGGAGCTTCTAGCTTTGCATTAAAAATAAAGCCAGCTCTGCCTGGAATCTTGCTTTGGGAAATTTTCCTATAGAGGAACATAAACCTGAAGATAACTTGTTTCCCTTTTTCTGCTTGTTCGGAGTACAGTGATCTGTTTAAGCAGATAGGGTGGGAAAGGGAAGGAATAAAAAAATGGACAAGTCAGGTGAAGAAACAAAACAAAGAACAGGTAAAATCCAAGCACAACCCAACAACTCTCTTCATATCTCTGCATTTCAGTATTTATGACTCTCACTGTTGAACTCCAACAACACTAATTCCCTCATCTCACCTCATCTCTGTTCTGTCTTGCCCCTGTCTGGTAAATCAGTACAGTGATGTTCTGTCTCACAGATTTTAGACTCATTGAATTAAAAAGATTGCAAAGAATCAAACTTTAAAAAAATTATTTAATAACAAAGAGTATAATTTTGTTGTTGTAAGCTTTATGGATCCTTGAGCACTTACAAGTGACCTCTTGTTTAACCTATGGAAACCAGCATTGCTGCCATGGAAGTAGAACAAGCGATCTTTTAAATATGAAACTTCAGTTTCCTTAGTTGATGGGACAAGCTCAGCACTTAGGAAAGCACATCACCAGTGTGTACCCTCGCTAGAAAACAATCTACTGGAGCTTTGTTATACAACATTCAAACATCCTGGCGAAGTGACAGTAATTTGCAATAAACACTACATGTAAACAATTACCTGTGACTTGTTACACTTGTTTGTACAGGCAGCTGGCTAAATAGATCTGGGTGCACTTGTAAACGTCTGTCCCTGTCACACCTGATACTGGAGAACAATTGTTTATTATTTGATTACTCTGAAAAATTCAGGGTCTTGTACCTGACAGCTGGCAAGGACTGAGTACGGATGCTTATAGAGGCACGGAGGAGCCAGAGAAAACAAATGTGATGGTGGCATTTTTATGACAACGGTGAGGGCACTTTCATGTCTAATCCTCCCATCAAGGGAAGCCTTTGTGACAGAGTACTTGACAAAAAAACCCACTTTTGCTGGTTGAAGGGTCCTGTGGTGGTAGAGGTGAAAGAAAGTCATTTGGTCATACAAAGTCCAAGGAAGAGGCGGAGGTGATTTATTTTCAGTGCTTTAGCCGGGCGGTGTAAGGCGCTCCCACCCTGCGGAAACGCGGGCAGCTGGGGCCGGGGCGTCCCGGAGCTCGGGCACGGCAGGCCCCGGCCCGGGACACGGCCGCGCTCCGGGCACGGCCGGCACCCAGCGGCTGTGACCCCGCGCCCGCTGGGGCTGCAGCGCCCGCAGGGCGGGACGAGAGGCGCCTCCGCCGCTGCAGCACGGGCTGGGGGCCGCGGGGCCGGCCCGGGCGGAGCGGGCGGAGAGGGCTGAGGGCCCGGGAGGAGCGGAGCGGGCGGAGCGGGCTGAGGGCCCGGGAGGAGCGGAGCGGGCTGAGGGCCCGGGCGGAGCGGGCTGAGTCCCCGCCCCGTCCCGCCCCGGCCGCGGCCCCGCGCGGGCGCACTGCGCTCGCTGTGGGAGGGAGGGGCGCGCAGGCGCGGGGCGCGCGCCGGGCGGGGCCGCGCGGGAGCCGGCGGGGGGTTCCGCGCGCCCGCGGCCGCCGCCCGCGGGGCCGGTGAAGGGGCGGCGGCGCTGCCGGCACGGGGCCGCGGCCGGGGCCGGTGCGGGGGCGCTGCCGGGGGCTCTGCGGCGCTGCCGCTCCCGACGGCGCACAAAGGGCACCCCCCCCACACACCCCGAACCGACACCCTCCCCCGCCGCAAAAACGCACCCCAAGCGCGGCCCCCTCCGCCGGCGCTCAGGTGGGGCTGGCGGCGGGCGCTCGGGGGCGCGGGGCGGGGAGGGGAGCGGCGGCCGGCGGGCCGGGGCCCGGCATTGTTCGGCAGCCGACAACAAAGAGCGGAGCGGGGCCGGGCCGGGCCGGGCCGGGCCGGGGGGGCAGCGCCGGCCCCTCCGCGCCGCCCCGGCCAATCGCGGCGCGCGGCGGCGGCGCGCGGTGACAGCGAGCGGCGCTTACGCCGCGGCGCCCGGCGCGGCCCCCGCTCCCCGCCCCGCGCCCGCCCGCCTCTCCAGAGCCGTCTGGCTGCAGCAGAGCCTCAGACAGAGGAGGGGAGAGCAGGAAAAAAAAAACGCTGAGTGAGTGGAGTGGAGCCTGGGAGGGGCTCCTTAAAGAAACGCTGCCGCCGCTTGGCATTGTGGCCGGCGAGGAACTCGAGGGGGGGAAGCCATCGGAGCTCCTCTCGCTTATCCTCTTCCCACCCCCCCCCCCCACCCCCAGCCGACAAAAAAAAAAAAAAAGGAAAAAAAAAAAAAGCCAACCGAAAAAACCTCGGGGGGGGAGTCGTGGGGGGGGGTCCTGAGAACATCTTATAAACCGGATTGCACTGAGAGGAGGAAAAAAAAAAAGCAAAAAAGATACAAAATATACAAGCAAAAGGCAACAATTCCCCGGTCTCCAGCAGTCGCCCACCCTCCCTTCCCTTCTCTCCTGCTGGCCATCTGCCTTGGGTTCTCCTTTGTGTCTGATCTCTTACTACTGAGCCGAGCGCAGGCGGAGGGTGCACCACACACAGGGACTATGCCCAGCTCGCTTTTTGCAGACATGGAGAGGAACGGGAGCGGCGGCGGCGGCGGCGGTGGTGGTGGTGGTGGCGGGGGAGAGACCCTGGATGACCAAAGAGCCCTTCAGATCGCCCTGGATCAGCTCTCCCTGCTGGGGCTGGACAACGACGAGACGGGCTCCATTTACGACAACGAGCCTCGGAAAAAGAGCGTGAACATGACTGAATGCGTCCCGGTGCCCAGCTCGGAACATGTCGCTGAGATAGTGGGGAGACAAGGTGGGTGCGTGCATGCGAGGGGCTGTGGGGGCGCGGGTCTCCCCTCCGCGCTGCCGGGCGTGCGGCTCAGATGCGACACTGGCCATTCCCAGGAACGCTGCAGCCGTGCGGTGGTGGCCAGTGCCGGCTGCTTCCCCCAGACAAAGAAAGTGCAGCAGCAGACGTGATGTTTCCGAGGAGTGTTATGCATCAGTTTCGAGATGCACTTTCAGCTGCCGGGTTGGGGAAAAAAATCAGGAAAATAATAAAAATCTGTCCTTTCCTCCGGCTGCAAAAGTTAAGATTTGCAAGAGGAAACGGGAGGAAAATGGGAGCCTCGGTGCTTTCCCCCCTCCACCACCCCAAAGTTAGAAATCGTGGATTATTTTTAAGGAAGAGAAATGGAGTGGAGAAGTGGAACAATGGGGTTGGAATAAAGCATCCGCAGTGGGGAATATGGCTCATTCGGTACAGCCTCTGCTCCTCACCTTAAGAACTGATTTTATTTTTCCAAAAGGAAAGTGCTGAGCAGGAATGTGGACTGGCGGGTGTGTTGATTTGTGAAAGCTGCTTGCATTTTATTTTATTTTATTTTATGGCGGTGCAGTTTTCCTGCACGCCTTTTTTTATTTTTTTTTTTTTTGTCGCTCTCTTTTTTAAATTTTTCCCCGTATTACCGACCCTGTGAACTGCACGTTGGTAGTTTTGGGGCAGTTTGCATGGCAGATGTGCTGGTGGCCACTTGCGATGCCTTTGGGCGTGTGCCAGGGCTGTGGGCTGACATTTCTTTACACTGTGACCGAGGCTCCCGGACGAGATGCCAGCGATCACCTGGGGTTGGGGGCAATGTGTTTCGGGTGGGTGTGTATTTTTTTTTTTCCCCTCCCTAGCTGCACCCAAACAATGGGTTGTAACCGGTTCTCCCCCACCACCTCCCCTTCCTCCCCCTCCCCTTCGCCCTCCATCTCCGCATCTCGTTCCCAGGTTGTAAAATCAAAGCTCTGCGGGCAAAGACCAACACCTACATCAAGACCCCGGTTCGCGGGGAGGAGCCGCTCTTTGTTGTGACGGGCAGAAAGGAAGATGTGGCCATGGCCCGCAGGGAGATCATCTCTGCGGCCGAGCACTTCTCCATGATCCGAGCCTCGCGGAACAAGAACACAGCCCTGAACGGCACCGTCCCCGGCCCCCCGAACCTGCCCGGCCAAACCACCATCCAGGTGCGGGTGCCTTATCGCGTGGTGGGCTTGGTCGTGGGGCCCAAGGGGGCGACCATCAAGCGCATCCAGCAGCAGACGCACACGTACATCGTGACCCCGAGCCGGGACAAGGAGCCGGTCTTTGAGGTGACAGGCATGCCAGAGAACGTGGACCGGGCCCGGGAGGAGATCGAGGCACACATCGCCATGCGCACCGGCGGCATCATCGAGCTGACGGACGAGAACGACTTCCACGCCAACGGCACGGACGTGGGCTTCGAGCTGAACGGCACGGGCAGCCTCTGGAGCAAGCCCACGCCGCCCAGCATCACACCCACCCCGGGCCGCAAACCCTTCTGCAACTACCGCAACGACAGCTCCAGCTCGCTGGGCAGCGCCTCCACCGACTCCTACTTCGGCGGCGGCACCGGGGGGGGCGGCAGCGCCCGCCTGGCCGACTACAGCCCCCCGAGCCCGGCGCTGAGCTTCTCGCACAACGGCAACAACAACAACAACAGCGCCAACGGCTACGTGTACGGAGGGGGCGGCGGCGACGTCCTCTCCTCCCCGGACTGCTGCTCCGAGCTGCCCTTCGACTCGCCGCCCGGCTTCGACCTGGCGCCCGCCCCGCCGCCCGGGGCCGCCCTCCTCTGGCCGCAGTTCGAGCGCGGCCCCGCCGCGCCGCCCTCGCCCGCGCCCTCGCCCGCCGCCGCCGCCTTCCCGGGCGCCGCGCCCGCCAATGCCAACCTGGCGCTGCTGGTGAGCGGCCCCCGGCGCGGCGCCGCCCCGCCCCCGGCGCGGCTCTCCCCGCCCCTGCACGGCAGCGCGGCCGGCACCGAGCACCCGCTGGCGCGGCGGGTGCGCAGCGACCCCGGCGGGCGGCTGCTGGCCGCCTCCTACCCGCTGTACGCCAACGGGCTGGGCGCCCACCTGCCCGGGCTGCCCTCCGACTCCTCCGCCTCCTCCTCCTCCTCCTCCAGCTCCTCGTCCAGCTCCTCCTGCTCCTCCTCTGGCGTGCGGCGGAAGGGCAGCCGCGACTGCTCGGTGTGCTTCGAGAGCGAGGTGATCGCGGCGCTGGTGCCCTGCGGCCACAACCTCTTCTGCATGGAGTGCGCCAACCGCATCTGCGAGAAGACGGAGCCGCAGTGCCCCGTGTGCCACAGCGCCGTCACCCAGGCCATCCGCATCTTCTCCTGAGCGCCGGGGCGGGGGGCACGGACCGGGGGGACCGGCGGGGCCGCCGCCGCCGAGGGGCGCGGGCTGCGGCCGAGGGAGGGCTGGGGGGTGGTGTGACAGCGGGTGCATGCTATAAATAATAACGGGCGACTCCATTCTAGTGCTAGGCTAGTTTTTACACTGTACTTTAATACGAAGCTTCCAAAACTCCCCTTTTTTATAAACAAACAAACAGAGAAAAAAAAAAAAAACAGAAAAAAAAAATTGAAAGTAGAAGATGCTTATGATGATGACAATGGTGTGTGGACTGTTAGTAAAACGTGCTGGTAGTTCTAGGATGCTTATTACAAAATAATTAAATCTATGGGTGGATACTTTTCTGAATGTTCTTGAAAGGGCAAGAAGTTCCTGTGAAAAACCATGATACTGCAGCTTTATCAGACTTTAAAAAAAGAAAAAAGAAAAAAAAAAACCAACAAAACTGTAACATATCTCTTATATATATTAAAAACGTTTAAAGGTTTTAAAGATAAATTGCATTAATACAGATTGAAGTATTTTATTCTTTTTTGACTTGAAAAATTATATTTCATATTGCAAAGATGTTTACAAGTATTTTAATTTAAGTTCAGTGAACTTTTTGTAGCTGGGTTAAATCTTTTTTATTTTAGTATGGCCTTATGGCAAAGAACACTGTATTATTTTAATATCACACAATTGTGAACGGAATTACAAACCATAAAATGTGTAATGCTTTGAACAGTATTCTGTTGGGATGGAGATTTTATAGGTTCAGAAAAAATCTTTTAAATCTGCTTCACCCAGCATATTTTCTATTCAGTGATATAAAGCATATTTTATTCTATATTATTACAAAAATGGAAATGTATAAACATATGTCAAAAGGAACTGTTGAAGCTTTCTAACATTTGTATAAATAGAATTCAGTGGAAATTACAAAAATTCTGTTGCACCACTATAGTTTTAGTATTTCTATTTTAATACATTTGTTTACCACTTGTTTATGTATATGTAGGTGACGTTACTTGAGCTTAAATGTACTTTACTGAGCAAAGTTTAAAAACAAAGTATATTTTATTTTATGATAAAGGGCCTTTAACCTCATGGTCAAATACTAATATTATATTTGCTGAGACAAGATTTGAAATTGTATCAAGAGTTTTATTTTTCTGACATTTAAAGTTCTACATAATAAAAGTAAAACTTAAGTAATGGTGCTACTTCATGTTTTTTTAAGTATTTCTATATAAATAAAATAAAATATTACAGAAAAAAAGGTATTCTGTGTGGTGATTTGATTTCATTTGCTGAGAGTTTTTTCTGGAATTTTTGTTTCCTGCTTGTATCAGTGAAACATGTTGGTAGTTTAAATTGTGTCATGCTAATGTTTCTGGAACTCGTACAGGCTTCCAGAATAACCCTGCCAGCTATCATACCTTATAAAATGTTATTAATGAAAAAAAAAAAAAAAAAAAAAGAGTTTTTTGTAATATGTGTTATATTGCTGGGGTTTTCCACAGCACAAAATACTATTTTTTAAACCAATCTTTAGTCATGAAAAGTACTAGGGTTTGTGTGAATTGTTACTTTTGGCAGACAAAACATAGGAAATAGGAAGCTGAAAAGGAGCTGAAAGAGGGAGCAGGGGAGGCTGCTTTGTTGCGCTGTGCTGATGGAGGCTCCTGCCTCTGCCATGCCCAGGGACCTCATCCCAAGCTTGGCACTTTTGGAGCAGAGCAGGGCTGCAGTGGCCTCCCTGAGTCCTTGACTGTGCTTCTTAGTGTTTGGCAGTTGTGGCTGGGCTACTCAGTGTTGACAAGCTCATTTGAATAAAGTATTTCTTGCCGTGTGAAGTTGGTTTGGCGTTGCTGGTGGCCAAGGCGAGCTGAGCTGAGCCCACGGACACGCCGGGCAAGCCCCGCAGGACTTGTGCTGCTGAGTCCATGGGAGCTGTGGCTGTTGGCGTGTTAGAGCAGATTGCAGAAGGTGCTGCACATCCCTGAATGTTTCTCTCTGAGCTTGCCATTGCCCTTTGCAGTGGGAGAGTGAAAACAGCAAAGGAAACGCAGAGCGCGTAGCATATTTCATGTGCTTTACTTTGTGCTTAGCAGTGCATGGGCAGAGCTGCTCTGCTCCGATCTCCTTTATGGACTCCAGAGCTGCTGGTTGGGTGGGAAGGGGGAGGAGGGAGGATGCGGCAGGGGATGATGGGATCTCTTTGTTTGATTTGATTTGATTTTTGCTTCTTTCATTGAACTGTGGTTGTGGTATCATCTGATTTATAGGGCTAAAATCCCTCGCTGAGTGTTGCATCTATCTCAGGATTCTTGAAGGGTTTGATGAGGGGCAGAAACCCCCCACCCCAAGGCTGTGGAAAAGAATCCAGAGAGTGGCAGAGAAGATGTGTTTAAATACATAAGTGGTACAGATACTGAAAAAAACCCTTGGCAAAATCAGTTACTTTAGAGATGAGGAAGTTTAAGTCCATGTGTATATTTTCTTGATGATGGGTGTTTAGGAAAAGCTCTCAAGATGCGTCAATCAATTTCTCATGTCTGTGTAAACATCCTGTGGAGTTTTCAGGGAGAAGTTGTGAAAATGTCTATAAATATAAAAGTGAATTTGATCACTTTGCTTGGTTTTCAAGCTTAGTGAAACCAAAATGTAAATAAGATGAACAAAAAGTGAAAACTTAAGTCTCCTCCTGTTCTTCCCCGTGATGTCCAGTCCTGCTGTGTCCCCGGTGTTGGCAGTGGTGTTATGGATGGCTGTGAGCAGCCTCTGGAGAACAGCCCCTGGCCAGCAGCTCGGGGAATGCCCTGGCCTGGGCTGCCCAGCCTGTCAGTAAATCCAACTGGCCTCGTTGTCCATGGTCATCTTGCAGGACTTGCTGTTTCTTTACCAGGCTGTGGCAGAAACAAAGGCAATTCTCTCTTGGTCCATGGCTCTGGCTGCCTTTTCAGCCTCTGCATGCTGTTTCAGGCCCTTTACGTGCTCCTGTTGTCTCGAGATGGAAAGATGAGCTGTAGTGCCTTAAAAACTGGTTATGTTCACTCCTCTTTGGGAATGATTTTGCCTGCAGAGGGACCAGTGTGGATTACTCTTGCTTTGTCATCCAGTGAGTGCCTTTTGCCCAGCCTTCCAAACATGATGCCCTGTGGTGGTGGCAGAGCCAGGGGGCTCAGCAGCATTCACCCACCCGAGGCACCTCCACTGCCTGGACCCTCCGCTGCTGGCAGGGCTGGTGCCTCCCCCGTCTCTGTTGGAGGGTGTTTCAGGGTGTATGTGGTGTCCATTGTGCCGGGTCTCATTGCTTGCTGGTTTGCCCTGCTGTGCCCTGAGCCCAGACCTGTTCCCAGTGTGGGCTGTAAATCCCCATCCTCGGCTGGCAGGGACGAGCGCACGGGAGCAGGCACAGTGTGAGGAGGAACGTGCAGGCTGCCCAAGTGCTCTGCCCCACGGATTTATGCCGTGGGTCAGTCCCTCAGACTGCAGAGGCCATAAATTAGTGCAGAATTTGTCTCAGGGTCGGGAGCCATATGGTGTGCAGGAGCTGGAGAGGAAAAGGGATGCCCACACCAAAGGAGAATAAAAGCCTGTGTTGGGGCCCGGACTATTTCAAAGCCTGAGAAAGGGGCAAAGTTCAGTTTCTAATTGAGTGCTTTGAAATATATAGATGTATATGGCCAATGTTTATCTTCCAGAACAAAGCTCACTCTGTCCAGTGTTGGTGTGGCTGCTGGAGCTGTTCCTGGGGGTGTCCAGCTCAGAGCTCCTTGGGGCTCTGGGGCTGCTGGGGGTGTGGGTGCCCCTGGCACGTGCCAGCAGCCTGGCCCTGCTGGCCCAGCCCCTGCTTGGAGGCACTGGTGAGGATCTGCACATTTGTGGGAGTTTCCTGGCTTTCCCAACACATTTGTATGGTTCCCAGAGCATGTACACATCATTATCTCAAACCAGGGTACATTTACATATGTAAGAATTATTATAGACAAAGTCCTAAACTTAATTATTCCTCTGTCCATATCTTGTACTTCACAGAATTTGCATAACAATCAGACATCAAAGCCAGAACCCTTTACTGGAAGAAAGGTCTTTCTGCTATATTATTTTAATAAAATAAATTATAATGATCAATTAAACCTAAATTTACTCTTTAGATTTCTTCTGGTGAATCCATTGAAATGAGAGTGAAAAGCAAGCTTTAAATTTAGCAATAAGAATCTAGCACACTAAGGTATTCAAATTGCTTTTTGTTTGATATTTCTCACTCCTCTCTGCCAACCCCCTCACCCATCTTTTTCCTCCATTCTCCTTGTCTTGCCATTTTGGAAATTGAAATGATGCTTTGCTGTTACTGAAGTGAATGTGGATTCTGCTGCTGGAAGGGCACGCTGGTGAGTATTGCGTTTAATTGATCTATAAATAGCAAAAAGGAATTTTTCACCCTGCCTCTGCTTATTTGTGTTTCCTGTAACTCGAGTTGTCTCTTGAGTAGAGATGATTTAATTTAGAGAACAAAGAGTATTTTAAATCTAAGGTAGGCAAGGGAGGCTTCAGTCTGTAGAATCATTTGCATTTCTGGTTTACCTGTTTATGACAGTCTACCTGGCAAGCGCCGAAGGGCCCGAGTTTGCAGGTGAATATGTGCTCTGCCCAACGGTGAGTGATGTGGGAAGACACTCCTAACTTCTGTGTTCTCTTGCTTCACACCCAGGAAACATATAGAGTTATATATAAATGTGATCATATATCTAATATGTACTTGTGTACACAACTGACTGCATAGAATCATCCAGAGAAATCACCAATTAGAAAGTCTTTCCCTTTTTAGGGCATTGGTGTTAAGAGAAACTTGCTGTAATTACGGAAAAACTTTTATTGCAGTTTTATTACTTAATAGTAGGTTTTTAATGAAGCTTTCACAGTTGGAATATGAAATAATTACATCTCATCCAAGTTTCAATTTTGATTAAAAAGCAAAAAGTTTATTTGGTCTTAGTGAGATCGGTTCTATGGCAATGTGCTTCTCCTGTGATGAAACTGTATCAAAACAGGCACTTGGTGTATGGATTATTCTTTAATGTTATCTGTGCAGGTAGAGCACATGCAGCTCTGACTGTGCCCCAGGAATGTATATGCATACAGGTACAATACTGGGAGCACCACAGAGCCCCGATCCTTTAAGATTTGTGCAGTCTTGGGAAATAGCATCTATCATGAGAAATTGAATTTGCGCCTTAAGGAGCATCAGGTGGGGATGTGGCTACAGAAGCCATGAATATCTGTCCTGGGTTGCATTTTTCTGAGTTTAGGGCTCCATGAAATTGTAGGATTTAGTTCCCCTCATAAAGCAGACTGGCAAGTAAGGTTTGTTTGCATATATACACTTATCCAGGGCACACAGGTAGTATTTCTCCCTAATGTGGGTTTTGTGGTTCTTTTTGTTAGAGTATTTTTTTGCCTTGTCTTTTGTAACTACTTATAGCTCTCCACTGTTTAGGAAAATTAGTCAGTTAAATACTTTCATATTAAGTGCATCTTATACCTCTGCCATGACAAATGTGATTGATTAGCTGTCTTGAGAAATTTATAACCTTTGATAAGATTGCACCAAGAGAAGTGCTTTGTTAGTTTTCAGTGGAGAATGGAAAGAGGTTTTTGATGTTCCTCATTACTGGTTTTCTGCTTGTGATGGAGATAAAATACAGTAAAGTGCTTTTTTCTCTTATGTACAAGGGCTCTTCTGCCTTTCATACCTGGTAGAATTGTGTGGTCCACTTTGTATTAGTATGAATGGCAATTGCCTTGTAAATGTGATGGCCATTAATGGGTGAATAGTCTGTCATCTCTTATTTTGTCCTTTGTCTTTATGTTTTATTCACTTTTACCCTCTACAAAAGAGCTTTAATTTAGACCTCAGACAACAGTAGCAGTGCTCTAGTTCATTATAGATCTAGTGGCAGTTTTATTTCATTTTGATGTTCTTTATATTTTGATGGGTGTACTAAACAGTAGAAGCCATTTAAATCAAAAGAAAATTTCAATGAGAGCATGACCTGTAAACAGTGGTTTTGTAGGAGTCACAAAAGTTTCTGTTACACATTTGGAAATTATTTCCATGATTTAACTGCAAAGGGCAAGTAAATCACCTCCCTCTAAGAGTTAGAAAAAGGAGTGTTTTTCAGGATCTTTAGTTCTGTTAACTGACTCATTGTATCATCTTGGCTAATTAAATTCACCTTTTCTGTGCTTCAGGATTTCCATCTGTGAATGAAC